TTTAATAATGTGATTTTTTTTTCTTAATGTGAATACTTTGAAACACTGACTTGAGGGTTGAGGTGTTTGAGTTGATGAATTGCCCATACTTTGCACTGCAGAAAGTAGGAAATCATGGAATCTTGAAGATATATAAAGAAATACTTTCATCCTAAATGGAGATGTGTTTTTGAGGGTTACAAGTAGCAGGCCAGCTTATAGGAGCAGATACACATCCCCCAGCAGTTTTTTGACCCTGGAACAGCTTGCTTCAGGCTTTTGAGATGGAAAAAGTTTTGAATGCTGACTGAAATTCTGAATTTGGTATCTAGCTCTATAGTGACTTTGCCCTGGTTTAGCTCTTTTGGTAGAATAATTTAGAAAAAGGAATTTCTCAGATTTTGTCTTGCAATTGTTTAGAAATTTCAATGCATTCTCTTGTAAGATGCTGTGAAAATGCAAGTTGTTATTTAATAAATATTCACCATTGTGAATAAAAAGTCTATAAATACCTGTTTCTGGGAAATACTGTTTCAGCAAATCTGGAGTATTTTACTGAAAGTGGGAACAAAAAATACCTAATACTTAAACCCAAAAGAAACAAAAAAATGCCACCTGATTTAGTTTAGAAATTAGTTTTCTTTAAAGTGTATTGTTTCTATCTGACCCCTAACCACACATTATATTTTCATTTAAAAAATCTCCATGAATGTTTATTTATCTGCCTCTGCACTATTTGTACCTCTAAAAATTTCATTGATATATAGAGACTTAAATATGTGATGAATGAAGTATTGCAACTGCCTGAGTAAGAAATTTCAGTGAAGCTAAAGATAGACTTGTCTCTTATATCTATTCTTTGGCAGAGAAACAGGGTGACTGAAGAGAAGTACAGTATCTGAAAGCACAGCTAAAACACAGACACACTGACATTATAATACAGTGTCTCACTGAGTGATGTGGTGTTTTGACTGCATGGCTGCAGCAGGTCTATAATTTAAATGCCATTAATGGCACAAAAAACAATAGTGTGGAGGCAGGAATACTCTAAAATCTCTGAGTCTGTACTTAAAATGCAGATGAAACAACCCTTTGAACTTGTGGTGCCAAATGTTGTCCAAAGTTACCATTCTTCCATGAGGAAAGCAGTTTTTGTTTCTATGCTGTTTTAGGTCTTCCCCCTCCTAGCACAGAGAGACATTTTCAGTTCAGATTGCTTGGCCTGTGTCACTGCAAAGATCCCAGGCAAAGGGGCTCTGCTTGTATTTTGCCTCACTCATGTCCCGTTCACACATTCAGCACAGAATTTGCCATTGTGAATAGTCATGACTATGTTTTCTTTGTGCTCGTTGGCTTTTGAATATGCTTCTTTATATTTTGACTCGAGTCGCACACAGAACTAATTTCACCAGAAGCTATTGGTGTTCAGCTGTAACAGAGTTACACATAGTCCTGTGACTGCACCCTGCTTATAATATCTCATTTGTTTCCACTTGGCTGTTGTAATGTTTTCTGCCTGTTAGACTTCTTGTCCTTTCCCTTGCTCTCCTTTTTTTTTTTTTTTTAAACTTTTTTTTTTTTTTACCCCCATTTAGAATTATAACTGACTTCATTTTCATTACTGAGCCTAACTGTGGGTAAGCAATAAGCACATTTCTGTACCCTCACAGATGCCAAACATTTAATACACCTTTACTGTAATGTGTGCTCTAATTGCTTACCAAGTTGAGAGAGTCTATCCAGAAATAGTTCCTCATCTTTGAAAACCTTGTAAAATGTGTACAATATGTTAATTGTGAAGCTTTTTTTAGAATATTTCAAAGGAGGAGAAGAAACGCTGTGTAAGTGAAACTTGTTTAAAGTGCTCCACCATTTCTAACAGGAGACTGTTGTAATAGTTGCATTATTTCTTTATACTGTTTGAGTGCCTTTGTAAATCTCAGGCTTTTTTTTTTTTTTTTTTTCCTTTAAACTAATTCACAGTATGTCAGTGTGGTACTACACCATATAAGTACTATCTGTTTCCAGTTTTGGCTAAGTGGCTGGACTCTTTTCAAACTATTCATACAGTGTTAACAACGATTAAAGCCAATTTATATTCTGTGAATAACTAAACAGTAAAAGCTGCTAAAGGGATAGGAAGGGAGTTTCAGAAAAGTTATTTCTCTTTATAGTAAAAACCTCACATTTGAAGTGCGGTAAATGTGTGCTTTTACATAGACCTTTTTTTTTCTCACTTGAAAATAAATCATACCTAAAATTTAAAGCATGTGGAGTAGAGGTGGATTTACTTTATACTGAAGGTAAATACAACTGAAGAAAAATAAAGCCTCTGCATTAATTTAGAAACTTTGGATCTTAGAAGTAATTTATTCAGAATTTTCTTTATCTGGTGTCTGTCAAGTGTAGCTATCTCTTTGAAACAGGGTGTTTCAAATCTGTGATCATTAAAATAGCTCTCTACTGATCCTGTGCGTTCCTGTAACAACTCAGGCTCTTCCAAAAGGTAATACTAATATGGGTAAAAACAAATCTTATGAATGTTTTGATCTTGTAAGGCATCTTGATCAGAACAACTTTAAAATTCAAAATGGTGCATTGGCCAACTGAAAAAAATTTTCTGTGATAATTTTCTTCTCAGTATTAGTGAAGAAATATTTTACTTAAACCACTACACATGGCTACTGCAATCAGTACTTTTCAGTTTTGTCTGAAGAGAAATTAATAATTTTTCTTGCACTTGTTGCCCCAAACTCTGAGGAGTAACATGAAACCAAAGCTCAACTTCAGAGAATGACTAGCATTTACCCAGACTATGCTTTTAATTAGATCAGAATATGAATTAGTGAAAAAACTTTCCTTAGTGGCAGGTTTGGTAAAATCGGTCTTAGTTATAAGACTATTTTTCTACTTAGGAAATAATTTGTGAAATGAAAGGGAACAATTCTTTATGCTCAGTGAGATTTTAAATACAGAGCAAACCTGCACAATTTCTCCATGTCAAAAAAGCGTTCTGTGCATTTTTTTCCTAAAAAATGCCCTGTACACCAATAATTTCTTCAGTAACCAGAATGGTTGTTGCTTGTCTCTGAAAAGCCCCAAGTATATCTTGTAACAACTGAAAACCTGAGCACAATTCATTTCCTGATGTAGTGATGCAGTCCCAGCTGCCCTTGCGAGAGCAGAGTTCCAGATGTTCCTGTTTTGTTTATGGAGTGGGGCTATAACTGTTGGACAGCAGGGATACAGTTTGGCTCTCTGATAATGTTGTATCTGTTGAAACACTTTCCCTGTGGCTGTAGTAATGTATATATACATTGTGAAGGAAACCATATTATGGATTGCATTCATTTAATTCAGGTGAGTGTGAGAATAGCTTGGATTTGAGGGTACAACGATGGCATCTCAAATACCACATAAGGGGGGAATTGTGCAGTATCTTAAGCAACATATATGGAAACAGAGACAGTGATTTGAAACTGTTATTCCTATAATAATTTAGGTTGAAAAAGCCTCTTAAGGTCATTGTATCCAACACTAAATCCAGCACTGCCAAGTCCTGAATCATGTCCCTAGGTACCATACCTACACATCTTCTAAATACCTCCAGGGCTGGTGACCCCACCGCTTTCCTGGGCAACCTTTTCCAATGCTTTTTAGTGAAGAGGGTTTTTTCCTCCGATATTAAATCTAAATCCCCCCTGATGCAACTTGAAGCCATTTCCTCTTGTCCTATTACTCGGAGAAAAAAAAGGCTTAGACACGCTCCTCTAGAGCCTCCTTTCAGGTAGTTGTAGAGAGTGATGGAGGCTCCCTTGAGCCTCCAGGCTTAACAACCCCAGTTCCCTCAGTTGTTCCTGAGTGGACTTGACCTCTGGACCCTCCGCCTTCATCGTGTTACTTCTTGCTCTACTTATGGTTACAGTGTGTATATAAACCTATCTATGTAAGAGTTTCTAGATGTTCAGTTTAAGTGTTTCTCCAGTGTTTCTTGGAGCTGTTTTTGTAGGACACTAAGAGCTTAATAAAGCTTGGATTCAGTAAAAACAAGTATGTGAGAACAGTTTTAGTTGTGGTTGTTCCCATATTTAAGATATTATTTCAGGATGTGTTCAGATTTCTTGAACATGTTCGTAACAGGGTTAAGGGCTGATGCTGTACTCCTTCCACACTTAATAATTCTATTCAATGCTGTGGCTATTCTGTTTGTGGATTACCCCATTTTAAATCATCATTACAGATAGTTTTAGTGATTTTAAATGCCCAAGTGAGCAGTGGATCAGGGCAGAAAGCTTCCCAGGTACTAGCTATAACTGCTACTTCTGGCAGAAAAGATCAAATGTGAATTTTTCTTTTCTGAAACTCTCTGTGGCCATTTCTGTTTTCCTAATTGGTTTAGACTGAAAATAGCTTTTTAACCAGATGTAGAAAGACAGGTTCTTGATTTCAGGTGGTGAGACTGATGTATTATTGTAAGAGTTTGTAATCGAGATTATAGGAACTGTTAACTGTTATACAGTTTTGCCTTCAGGATAAGAAAAATGGAGATGATTCCTGGAATCCCACTTTCTTGGTGAAAGATTGGAGGGGCTAACATGGGCTTAGGAGTGTGGAGAAAAGGATCTTTCTCTTCTGGGCATATGGAGTTGAATATTCACTTTGCTTTGTGGTCTAGGTTTATTGCTAAACGCTCAAGCAAGCCTGGAGGCATTTCCTAAATGAGGTTGCAACTGTATAGCTTTTAAACTCAATTAGCCCTCTCTTCTGTTTTTTTGCATGCCATGTCAGCTCTAATGGAGTTTACTGAGCTGTGTGAGAAAGGGAAGGTGTGGAGGTCTCCATAACCAGGCCCCTTCTTGCCCCATGCTACAGTGGATTGGCCACATCTTGTTGTGGCCCTTTGGCAGCAGCAATTTAAAGGTTCTCCAGAATCTTAAAAGATAAAATTGTGCTTTCAGGGGGGTATACTGGGGAAAAACATCATTCAACAGCAAAGAAATAAGTAAGTTAGCTTCCACTACCTGATATGAGACTCCTTCAGAAGGGAAAGAATACCAAAATGGGCTGTGCTTTGTGTCAGATGGACAGGATGGGTTGGCCCAGTGTGTTTCTTCCACACAGTAATCTTCTGAGGCTTGTGGGCTGTAAAATGCAAACTTGAGAGAAAGAAATCCTATCACAACTAATAGCAAAGAAAGTGTCTTAAGAAAATTGCTATTCACAGGAATACAGATTTAACGAAGTGGTAGAAATTATATCTTACCCTTTAAATAAAAGAAACAAAAACTAAAGATAAAACACCTAATAACTGCCTTAAGGAAAAACCCCTTTGTTAGTCTTCAAGCACAAGAAAGTACTTGACCTGTTTTGAACAGCACTGTTTTTATAACTCGTTTTTGTTGGATCGCAATCTTTTCCCTTTTTTCTGTTTGATCTGAAAGTCCAACTGTGTTAATTAAAAAAATTAATGTAATGCATTAAGCTTGTAACATGATTAAAGGTGTTACTAGAACTTTATAGGAAGAATGTCTTTTCTCATTCTGTTAATTTTTCCCCGCAAGTGCAGTTGTATTCAAAACTCTAAGTACATCTGGTTGAAAACTTAATCTTTTTTTTTTCCCCTGTGGGGAAAACACAAGATGTTTTGAAGAAATGTATTTTTCAATGGACGTTTTTCTGGAAGGCCTTTTGCATGAGGAGAATTAAAAAAAAGACTGCTTGCTGCCCCAGAAGGATTGGTAGCCTGGTGATTTTGGTGTGCCTCCAGAATATCAGAGCTCTGTTGTTGTTGGAGAAGGGCCTGGAAACCCAGGTTTCTGATGCTTTGGATGAAGGTCTTAAAGATCAGACTGCTATCTGTCTGGAAAGTGATCGTGCTGCCTAGTTTTTCCCCTCCTCTTTCTTTTATAATAAGCTCCTTTTCCCCAAAAGAAATTTCAAATAACTTAGACATACCTCTCTAATTATAATGAAGAATAAAAAAAATTCAAAAATGTATTTGGATCTCTCTGAGAAAGGAGTATTATTTTCTGATTAGTCTTAACAGTAATGCATAGATCTATTGTTCATGTTGTCTAGTAAAGAAAAAACTGTAATAATGATGTAGTTTGCCCTTAGTAATGAAGTTGAAGCAACTGTACATGTATTTAGGGGAAGGTGCTGTGGCTGAAGAGTTCTGAAGCAATGGATAGTTATTATATTTGCTCCACTGAGTATTGCAAAGAAGAACCTTTCTGTCAGTGCACTTATACATGTACTTATTATTTTACTTTATTTAAACAGTAAAGCCAGGACTTGCTGGTCCCATTCTCTGTGCTGATTACAGCATTGTCTTTGTCCCTTTCTTAAGTCCAACAAAAAACCTTGCATAGTGGAGTTTACAAGCAATGTTGACAATGTGAGGGCTACTTTTAAAAATACAAAACCAAACAGAAGTTAACAAGTATGAGGAAAAAATCCTGTTCGTAAAGCCAAAGTGACCCTCTATGGAAGAATATAAAATAATCAGTCTGATATGTCTGAATCTCTCTCACTCATACTAACCCATGAAACACCTAGGTTGCTTTGACTATTACATCATCTCCTTTGAAGTACAAATGCTAATTGAAATCTATCTAAAAGTTCAGCATGTGTGCTAAGATATTACAGATCACTTTTTTTATTATATTCTTGAACACAGGTTTGTCTGAGTTTCTTTAAAGCTTCTATCAGTGGGGGAAGAAAGGTGGTGCTGGGATCATGCTCCCATAGGATGCACCTCATTTTTAGTACTTTGTGTTTTAATGTTTATCTCTTAACTGTGGTTTTGAATGTGCTTCTGAATCCTTACTTTGCAAAAAGAAAGACATTGCTGTCCATCTCCAGCTGAGTTTCCACCTTGCTTAAAAATTGGTGCTTTTCTCCTTTATTCTTTGGAAAAGATGATTTTTAATTAGCTTTTACTTTCCAGATAAGCTGCTCTTCACTTTTAATTCAAGGGAACAAGAGGAGGTAGCATTGGATATATTTGATCTCTTTGAAATATTTCAGTCTGTCCTTACAGAGCTGTAATTCTCTCTTGAAAGGCTGCTGTGACATTCAGATGTTTGTTGGACAGACTTGAAAGTATGCTTTGGATGCTGTTTAGAAAAATCTAGTGCCCCATAAGTGCAATACAAGATGAAAGGAAGTAATGCTCAGGACCTATTGTGTGTGGATTGCTGAAAACTGCTTTTTTTCCTCAGTGCTTTTAGCTTGCTGACCTGGAGATAAGGTTGTTTCTATTTTTTATTCCTGTTATCAATGTGAAATGCTTTATTTCAGGTACTTTTCCATTTTGCTTTGACCTGTTTTTACAGTTTTTAGTGCTGCCTGTTTAACACATGTGCAGTAAACAGCTGCACCACTGAGTTCCTGCAGATGTTGTGAGCCAGTAGGACTTTTATAACTGCCTCTAAGATGTTCAGTTGTGGAAGCCTTGATTTAGAAAGAAGAAATCATGTTCAGTCATAGCTGTCTTCAAAAGTCCTGACCCCAGACCTAGAAAAAACCAGTATGGCATTTTCGTGCACTGTCTGTGTACTGAGCTGTCTGAGATGGTTTACTTTTGTGGCTCTAAACACGTTAGGTAAAGTTTGGGGCCATCCAGCAATTGCATGTTACAAGCTCCTTTTTGCATCTGCAACAATCCTGCTAATGTTCTCTCTTTTAAAATTCTTTGATAGTAAATATCATCAGATAAAAGGCTTTTGTACTCTGGATTACTGCTCTGAAAAAGTCCATGAAGTAAACACAGTATTACCAGCTGACTGACTTCTACGCTTAGGCTTGCTGGGGGGTTTAGTGGGCTGTTAACAACTACAGGTATGGCTTCTTTTAGTTCCTGATTTGGGGAAATTTTGTTTATCAGATCACATCTGTTTTCCTCAGTCCTTCATGCATAAACTTGCCCTAAAGGAGAGCCATCTCTCGCTACCATTCTGTTCATTATGATTTCAAACTACCTACTAATCTGAAAACAAATTTTGGAAAGTTGTTGAAATAGTGGCCATGAAACTACTAATTTTTTATCTGTAATTTGATATAATTTCATGGATTTAAAGTTCATAATTGAGTTTCTTTTCAAAATGAATTTCAGAGAGACAAACCTTAAACAGACTTGTATAAGAGTGTTTATTTGGGAGTGAAGTCGGATGTCAGGGCAGCATCAGTGTGTGTGTACTTGTGCCTGGAGGGGGGAGTTAAACTGTAGGGGTAATCTTTCACATAGGTGTGCTAAGCAGCTGTTTGCAGGACTGAACACCTTTCTGTATGTTTCATCTGGATTTTTTCTCCTTGCTGTTGCAAATAAAGTGTTTTCTGTGATGTATCCTAGACCTTTCTCATTTCTCCCATTCTACCATCAAATCACCATATCATAATTATATATACAAGACTATTCTTTCTTATTCTGGCAATTGCTAAACAATGTTGCCAAGCTTGTCAAGTCAGATATGTAATCAACACTGTACACAGCATTTTTTAGAAAGTGAGGTTGAAAAAGAAATAACTAAATCAGCACTGCTGGTCAAGAGTTGCAATGGTGTGTTTTCCAGGGGAAAGAATTATATCAGTTAAGCCAGGGTGCTGGTGCACAGCATTTCTTTGTCCTTTCCTTAAGTCCCATCAAAAACCTTGGCTGCAGACCCCTCCAGTTTGGGGGGAAATTCAAATAATAGCTTTAAAGAGTGAGTACTAAATCTTTATATTTCTCTTTTCCTTGTTAAGGTAGAATGAAAACCATAAACTATTGGTAAATGTCAACTAACCGCTAGACTTGAAAGAACCAGCAGCTGGTTTCTGCTTATGAAGCAGAAACTGTGTGGGAGGAGATGTAAAGAACCTCCTCAAATACCCATTATAACACAGGGGTGGGGGAGAGACTGCACTGAATATGGTTTTTAACCTTTAGAATTCTTTTTCTGTTCTCTCATGCTCTTAGACTTGTATGAAAACGCAAGATGGCAATTGATTTGTTTCAGGTAAAGGCATCAGACAAAGGCCTCGTGCTACCTAAAACTAATTCTAATAAAAAATTGAGTACTCAACTTGCCTGTATCAATTTTGTGTCTGTTAAAGATTTATGGTATGAATCTCATAACCAGATTTCAAATGTATTTAATGATTAATTGTTTGCAAAGAGCTTGAGTGTGCCTCAAATCAGATGCATTGTTTCAGTGCAGCAACATTATTAACAACATCGTTAGAGTAATACTGAAATGGCAACACTTAAAAATGCATCTACCACAAATCTGAAATGATGGGTTTGTCCTGAATACAAATAGAGAGAAAATAGATCAGGAGGTATTCATTCCTGATGTATAAACTGAGATAAAAAGTAGACCACAGGTTTATGTTAATATAAATTGAGACAAATTCTAGGTTGGCAACAGAGACCTAAAGGCTGCCTAAGCAAAGCAATGAATGTTTATTCTTCTTCTAAAGGAAAGTCCATACTTGCTGTCAAGAAAAGACAAAGGGTTGTTCTGGGATGTGTTTGTTGGGTTTGGGTTTTTTTAAATAACCTATTTTTGCAGTAATTCATAAATCCTTCATCACTTTCTGATACGGAAAAAAAAATGTATACAGCCTCGTTGGCTCATGGCACAGTTATTTTTAACTGTTTTTGGAATATTTGGAAAAATGGGCTAGAAAATGAAGAAAGAATTTTTTTCCTGAAAATAGTCAATTATGAGACACTTAATCAATGTATCTGGAAAATGTGGTGGCAATCTGTCTGTTTTTTAATTGGAAGCCTTCTTACCTAGACACTGGGCAGATGAAACAGCTCTCAAGGAACGATTAAAAAGAAATAGAACTGCAACTCTGTTATTTCACCTGCTCTTCTTTTAAACGTGTCCTTTCTTGTTTGCTAATAACTCCCACTATGGAGCACTTGTCCACAGTCCCAGGAATTGCTGTTAACTCCCCAAGACGGGGGTGGGAAACTGGAACTGGTGAGAAAAGGCTGGAAGGGTACCAGCTGGAGGATATTTGTGACAGATCAGAATAACAGGAAGAGAGAGTAAAAAAGAAATGGTCAGCACTTTTGGCTTTTTAAAAGTGGGGTGTAGATGACTTGCTGTTATGTTTTTGCAATGTCTTGCTTCCAGGCTGCTGGCTTAGTCAGCCACATCTTTAATTTGCCCAGTTTATAACAGCTGCTTTTGCTGCTACCACAGAAAGAGAAATTATAATTTCTAAGCTTTCATTTCATCCCTCTTACCTATAATCCTCAAGTTCCAGTCTGTCTGACCACTTGACTAGGCTTTTTAATTAGCAGATCTTCTTGGGGGCCCTTAAATGTGTTTTGAATATACAGGAACACTAAACAGCCTTGGAAACTCTTGATGAGATGAAAAACATCCTGCTGGGAATATGAAATGGCACATAGTGCCTAGAATAATGATTTCCATAATTGAGATTTTCATGTGCTGTATTAAAAGGCAACATTTACCTGGGATCCTCTTCTCTTGAAAAGAAAAATGTTCAGTTTTAAAAACTTGTCTGTTGAACTCTGTTTCTACACAGTTTTGTCGATTCCTCAGAAGAAAGCTTATGGGTTTGGCACAAAAGGCACAGAAAGCTGGAGATGAAAACTAGTATTAAAATATTTCTGTGCAATCTGTGATCCAGATATACTTGTTTTGCTGAAATGAGGCAGGTGGAGTTTTGCTTTGTACCCAAGACCACTGTACTGCCTGATGTTTTGACTGAGGCGGCACATTGTTAATGATGTGCTAATAAACAACATAATTTGGTAAGGTAGACTCTTTGGTAGAAGGTAATAGCTCTCAGTGCTGCAAGTATCCTAATGCAATCGAAGAAAACAGCTTGTTTTAATCATTTACTAATTGTATGGCACGGCAGCTAATCTCTGGGATGTACCTTGGAGACCCGATAACATGTTTCATCGACTTCTGGAGAACCGACACAGATGATGTTGGCCAAATTGCCCAGTTCCCTTCATTGCTGGTCTGCAGCTCTGTGGTGATTTGTCTAGAAGACAAAGAAATAAAGGATTTTGTGTAATAGTTTAGGATATGCCCAATAAATCAACCAATAATTGGTCTTGACAGTTCCTAAGGAGAAACCTCTGGTGTCACTACAAAGGTCTTGGTGGTTTTGTACTATTTGTACTAATGGGTTTTTTTGAATTTTCAGAGAAAATATGTTTTGCTTCAAGCTAGCTCTAAAAAAAGTTAGGTTATTTAGAATATTAAGTTGTGACATGGTACTGTCACTAAGCCTTATAGTTTCAGTAATTTACATGTCCTAAATGCATATGTCAGTGGTATCTTTTTCCATACCGTCTGCTTTGCTGTTCATGTGAGACCATTCAGACATATAAACGAATAAAATAATAAAAAATTGCCAGAAGATGAGCTCTAGGCTTATTTTTCAGTGCTACAGATAAGTGTTGGCAAGACTCGTTTCTGAAAACTCACATACTAGACCTGCGTGCATTGGTCTTTTTCCATAGTGTAATTATGAATTGATTTTCTCTTATAGAAAATTAATCCTGCTTAACTACTCAAATACAGGGCTAGGTAATATTCTGATCTTTATTGGTGACATGCACTAATCCTGATGAAACCTGCAACACTCCTGCAGTTTTTCAATAGCTCTGAAAATTATTCCAACCTTAGCCTTTGGTATTCAAAGGCATGTATTACTGCGTAAATGACTCTCCCCTGTCCCTGAAGTGCAGTGGATTAGGTGGAGGGATTCTCAAAACCTTCTAAATTCTTGGCATTCAGGACAGAAATTGCTCAAGTAACACATATTTGAGTTGCTTGTCAAAGCACTTTATTAAATTGGACTCCCTTAAATAAGTTTAGTGTTAAGTAAGTATGGTAAATTAAATCTAAAAATATTTTTTTTTCAGATCTATACTTTGCAATGGTCTAATGGTTACTGTTTGAGGAGTTTGTGGCCTGCAAAATACTGTAATTATCCAGCATATTCTCAAAAAGACTGGTCTCTGGTATTAGCGTCCCTGTGGTTTCATGGGAGACATTTTGAGAGTTTTGATTCCATCTTGTTTTAGCTGTGCCTTCTCCATTGTGATTAACAGAGGAACATGCAAGTTTGAATTCTTCAAATAACTTTGAAGAAAATCTCACATTTTTTATTTGTCTACTTTATAGGACATGAAAAAAAAAAAACCATTACCCCTCAGGGAATTAAAGCACAGTGCTTTAATTACACAATGCCCATTAATGCTAATAAATTTTATGCTGAAGACCTGTGCTGTACCAGTGCCAATGAAAACATAAGTCTCCTTCCTTTTCAAACCCTGTGCCACATACTGCCTGGACATGAGATCATTAAAATGAACTCAGTTGTAATGACAAGCATTAGACAAAGATGTAACATTTCATTTGGACTCTCAGCAGTTTCTATAGGTGGAAATAATGCTAGAATTTGAAAATATTCAAATAGGAGTAATGTTAGGTGAGTGAGGGAACGTATGTGAAACGAAGTGATAATACTTTCAACTGCTGCACTCCTTCCATAATCTGATATACCTTGAGTTCTCTCTCAAAAGATTCCTTTGTAATGGTAGTCAGAATAATGAGTTTACCAGCTGTATAAGATAAAGTATGTTTGTAAGCACTCTGTATTCATAAATCTTGCTTCTTTAGTTCTCTGCTCTGTTTTCTCTTACCTAGTCATTAACTGCAGCCTTTCTTTCCTTTTTTGATATAGCTCTGATGTTAGCAGTTCTAGAATTTGACCTCAGAACTAAGTCTCCTTTTCTCTTGCAGTATTCCTGGAAATCAGGCAGTCATATCACTATTGATCTGTGTGTTGAAGTTTAGCAGTTCTACTTTTTATAGGTGGGTTAGAGGAAGAGTTTGGGATTCAGTTGATGAGAATTTGAAGTGAGGGGAATGTATTAATAAGAGCTTACAGTGGTAGATGTGGACACATCTCTGCAGTGGGGTGTCTTACAGAACCCCTTTGTAGTAACAAAATGAATATGTGGTGGTGGTTTGCTCTGGTTGAGAATGGAGACCAAATGAAAACAGCTATGCATGAGGAGGATGGCACGAGGGGCTGACCAATGGTTCTGATGGTAAAATGCATAAAAAGAAAATAAAAACAACATTTAGATACCGTCTGATTGTGAAGATTTAGGAAATGGCTAGACTTAGATGTCAAAACAGTCTTCAGGAGCAGACAGAAGGGAAGAGCAAGGGCTGTGAAGAACCACATGGGTTTAGAGTGAGAACTGTGCCACATCCTCGTGACCTGAGTCTGGGTGGGCAGGGGAGATGCCATAGTGTGTCACTGGGCTGAAGGAAGAAGAATGTGAGGGTGAACCCAGCAGTGAGCTGAGCTCATTGCCTGTGGTGCTCCCTGCCAGGCAGGGGGGCCCCTGGGAGTCCTCTTAGAGAGCTCTCAGCAGTTGTATTTTATCCTCAAGCACAAACCTGTCAATTCAGGGCATTAATCACATTTTTACAGTTTTCATTATGTAATGTTTTCTGTGTTCTGTTTATACTTCATTAGTGTTTTTGCTAAGAGACTGGAAGACTTGGGCTGAATTTGGGTGTCTCTGACACCAGATATGTAAAAGCAGCCTCCCATTAAAGAAAAAAGCTGTATTATGAGAAGAGGATTTGTCAGAATGCTATATGTTGATGAGCACTAATTATCTGAGCTAGCAGCCCTTTGAAAACCTTTCTGATGACTAAATCTCCATTTTACACCTGTACTTCCCAAATTCCCAATCTGGTGGGAGCTCATGTTATTTTTAACAGTGGTTTCTTTTGCCAGTGAGTCCTAATGGGTTGGAATCACACTTGAAATGATAGTTTCTAATCTTATCTGCTGTTGTGAATATCCTTTTTATTTTTAAGTTCGTTAGAATCTGTAATCGTCCCAAATCTTCCCACCATCAATTGGACTTTTTCCCAACTTTCTGACTAGTTTCAAAGAGAAATCACATTGTTGCTTTTTTTTTCCTGCTCTGGTTGCCTGTGTTCACCTTGCTTCTGGTCCTCTTTCTCAGAGGCAGACCTGTTCCAGCTCGGTGATGGGTGCCAGTCATGACAGCGTAGCAAGCCAAAAGTAGTAAACTTGTTATGAAAGGCTTGAAAACTTGGATGTGTCTAGGTGCCAGGATTTTAAATTCGTTGCAACTTTATTAATGACACCCTGGGGGAAGAATCTTTTAATAGTAAACATATTCAAACAGATTTGAGCTAAAAAAGCTGGATTTACTTTGTTTGGGTTGCATGTGTACTACGGCATTATCAGGAGATGATTTAGAGTAAGAAGAGCTGTGAACTCTTAGCTTGGATCATGTTAAACTGAAGGTTCTCCATGGCTGAAAATGCTTTTCCAGATTTGTGGGAGCTTTCCCTCTCCCACCCCCTGTAGCACTTTGCAGTTTATAAAGGGCTATGTGTTAAACAGCATTTGTTGAGCTTACTGAATAAGCAAAACTATTTCGTTTTTTTCTTGAAACATTCATTCCTGCTCTGCTTTTGAAATGATACACGTGCCAGTGTGCTATTCTTCTTCCTGGTAGTTTCTACATGAAATCTATTTTCTCTGAGAAAATGGAATCTTTGTGTCTTTGTCTCCTCTCTAGCTTTCAGGCATGTTTTGGCAGGGGCTCTGACTGTCGAGGCACTGGAGAGGAGGGGCCTTGCACTCATTTGTCAGCTTTTCTTGCATCTGTAATTTTTGCCCACTCAGCAGTACTGGAGGGGCTTAGAAAAGGGGGATAACTTGTAGCTGTTGAAAGTCAAACCCATGAAACTATTGCTGGACTTTAACAGTTTGGGAAAGACATGTGTGTGTGAGAAACAACAAATGCTAAAACCAGTTTTAGGTTTAAGGTTCTAGCAAGTCTCCATTTCACGTAATTGCATTCCTTTTCCCCCTGTATCTTTACAGGCAACGACACTGTGTTTTTATAGATTTGTTCGTTGTGTGCTGATAAACTGGCTTCTTTTTTTTTTTTTTTTCTTAATGATGATGAAAAATAATTTCACTGGTGTTCAAGACCTGGTTGTTTCCAACCAACAACCTAATCTAAAATGTTTAAGTCTTCTCTAACTTTTGTCCTAATCCTTCCCTGCAATCTCCCTTTGCAAGGCGGGTGCTTTCATCTCCTTGTGTAATGTAACCAAACAGAAATTAGTTAATTTTTTTAGTAGAAGATAGATCCCTTCACACTAAAGAGAGCATTTTTCCTCTTCAGTTTTTTACGGAATATTAACATTGATCTCTCCTCCTCTTTTCAGTAGGCTATTTAAGCCCAGGGCTCATACTGTGAGCTGTTAATTAATCAGTGTGACAGATGAAGAAAGTATCCAACTATGAAAGGAAACCTTACTTCAGTGACTAACAATACGGATGTGAGCCCGAGTGATTTAAGGGATTTTTTTTTTTTTTTTTTTTTATATTGTGAATGTATGATAAGAAGTTCTTAAGCTGTTTGAGGTAACGATGGGGTTTTTTTGCTCAGGTTGTGTCTCTGCATGAACATTAAAGGGCTCATCAATATTTTGTCTTGAAAAGTCTAGACAGGAGTTAAAAGAGCCTCTCCTACAGTTTGAAGAGATCCTGTTTCTCATAATTAATAACAGGAAGCAAGTAAATAAGGCTTTACTGACAAACGAAACTGCAAGAGTAACATGTACCCAGAAACATTAGCTCCTAGCTGAGAAATGTAGCTGAGGTCTATTGGTTTTAGTGTACAGGAAAAGATTGCTGTGGAAGCACATTAGAGCTTTGCTCAAGTTTAATTCAGTTATGTGATATCAGACTAAAAGTCCAAAAGTAGCAATAATGCATTTAATTATTGAGAGTGATTCGTGACCTTTGTTTACATCTGTGTTACCATCCAAGAACTGTTCCCCCGCCATTATTTGAAATTCTTTGAACTCAAAAGGAGATTTTTATGTTTATTTAAAAGCTACCAGAAGGCATTTCAGACATTTCCTGGAACAAACTGTATATATGTATTTTAGGAAGAT